TCCCTTAAATCTAACCTTAAAGAAACCCAAAATGACGTCATTTAGAAGTTAGAAGCATAGGAGTTTACCAAAATGCCCCAAAACTATTGAAATAAAACCTGTAATTGACAGTTACTACGACCAACAGTACGGGTCGTAGCTTGATTGTACGACTCGTACTGAGAGTCGTACCATGCCTGTTGTAGCTTCACTAAATCGCTCCTAAATTTTTACTCCGAACTCCGATTGGTGCAACGTCAGATGTGTTGGAAGGAAGACTAAAAGGGATTCAATTTGATATGCTGAATCACCCAAAACATTTTATAACGTGGGAGCTATGATCGGTTGAAGTTGACCCTTATATGAACCAATACGAAAAACCTAATCGGCAAGAAGGCTCTCAACTCAACTTCATGCTAGAGGTTCCTTATGACCTTAATTTGAATCCAATGCAATTCTTACACTTTGAAATTAATCTTAACACCTTGTTTCCATAAATTCATTGGGTGTGGGTCTATCCACATACCTAGAAGGGTTCCTAACTTAGCCTGAAAGTCTGAGGCATTATAAACTCATGACTGAACCAACGATTGACTCCATAATATTACGACTCGTACCATGAGTCGTACCACCAACCTATGGTTTCCTCCAGTGACTAATGAGTCCATTTTCCCCGATATTATTTGAATATTTCCACGACTCGTACCATGACCCATAACTCCATCCTACGAGTCATACTATTACCCGTACAATCATTCACATGATAACTCCAAAGACTATCTACGACTTCAGGCCATGGGTCGTACCCACATACTACGGCTTGTAGTGGGGACTCTTGGTTGGGAAACGGGGACTCGTGGTTGGGAAACAACTTGTCTGATCTGGACCATGGGTCTTCCTACGACCCATACTACCAACCTACGACTCGTAGGTTGAGTCGTACTGAAATAAATTTTTTTTCCAACTTTTCCCGCTGATCACACTTCAAATCTCAATTCTAGTATTAGGAACTTTTGGGGTATTACATTATCTCCCCCCTGGGAACATTTGTCCTCGAATGTGGGTTAAGCATATTGAAGAACTGGAAAAAGAACTGCCATCCCAAATACTGAACATCTGAAGCTGAAAACTGACGGAGTGATTGACTCCGGGTTGATACACATGATTGAACTGAATTCATGAAACATACATACATGCTCAGACATGAATGGAACTGTTATGCACGACTTGACATAAAACTGAATAGAGTTCTAAGTATGAAATTAATACCTCCAGCTGGAATTGAGCTGGTAGGGAAAGATACCGGTATTTCGCCATCATATCTGCTTCGGCTTCCCACATAACTCTCTCAACAAGATGATTCATCCACAAGACTTTCATTAAGGCTACTTCCTTGTTCCTCAACTTACGAACCTGATGATCAAGGATCTCAACTGGTACCTTCTCATAGGTAAGGTTGTCCTTCACCCTAACTTCCTCTACTAGAACCTCTAAAGATGGATCTTCGATGCATTTCTTCAGCAAGGACACATGAAACATCGGATGCACTGAAACTAACTCCAATGGTAGCTCCAACACATCAGTCACCTTGCCAACACGTCTCACAATCCCATATGGCCCAACATACTGGGGACTAAGCTTCCCCTTGTTTCCGAACCGTCAAAGAATCAAGAAATCTCTACTTGCCTCAAAATGAAGCTCAAGCATCAAATTATGAATTTTCCCTTTCGTAACCATTCTGAATGATCAAAATCTGTTCAAATACGTATTCTACATAAGAAAATAAAATCATGGACACCCATATTGATATACTTCTATCCCAGACCAAAAAAGTCGATCCAAAAGTCAACCCCGAGCCCACATGGGCAAAACTGAAATTTTATTTGAAAATCATGTTACTCATAAGGTAAAGACTCGAATATGAAATTTCATCCAAAACGGAGCTCAAATAGACTTTGAATTCATCAAAATACGGTCTCTTAACTCTAGACCCAAAATCCTCAATTTTCCTCCAATAAACTCACAGATACAAATGTAAACCAACGGATGAAATCATGGTGAAATACCAAATTAAGGATTAGATACTTACCCCCTTGTTAAATAGAGAAGAATGCCGAAAAAATCACTCAATTCCAAACTCCAGAACTCGAAATATACTTAAAATACCAAATAAACACATTCTGTGCAAAAATACACTGCTCGGGTAATCATATAGGGTTGCACCAACACCGCACTAGCAACTTTAATTTTTACTAAAATGGCCATAACTTCATCATACAAACTCAAAATGCGATGATTCTTTTTCCTATAGTTCCCAAATAATGATAAGGACCTACTCGTTCAATCTAAACTCCATTTGGTGCTCGTTTTCCCAATTAGACATCATCTTTCCTCGTTCAAGAATTATTTTATCTTTTGTAATAAAACCTGATCTTGACTTATCAAAATTACACCAAACTTTTCAGATAATTCATGCTAAGAATTTTGAAAGTCTTGGAATAATTTTTCGATCTAAAAAACTAAAAACGAACCTATGAGTTGTCACACTTTATGCTTAAAATCATGCTAAACATACTAAATGTTCAAATCCACCCGAAACTCATCCGAAATCCTCCGATCACAAACCAAATATGCAGTTCAATCATAAAACACATTACAGACCTATTGGAATAATCAAATCACCGATATGAGGTCGTTTTGATAAAAAATTAATCGTGGTCAAACTTAGCTTCCTCAAAGCTCATAAATCCAACAAAAGGTTCAAATCACTCCCGAACACCTCGGGATCCATGCAAACTATCCAACTAAGTCATAAATCACCATCTGGAACTAACAAAACTTTCAGAACCCAAATTCGAGCTCGTTAACCTGAAATGTTGACTTTGGTCAAACCTCTCAAACTTCAAACATTCTAAAAATTGAAAATCTTATCCAATCTTCATAGGATCATCTTGGAAAATGTGTCATCCATCTCTGAAAGTCATAAACAAAAAAATAAGGATATGGAAAGATCCAACCCAGGGAAATGGATCAACAATCCCAAAATGACCATGTGGGTTGTTACACTTCCAGGCTTGGCTAATAACTGCGCTTCCTGAACTTCTACATACCCGACATATATGGCAGGGATAGGGAGTTATCCTGAACGTATACATTTTAACCATAATTTGCATCATAGAGGAACATTCATAGGGCTTAGAGTAAGGAAATTATAAGCACGAATCATTCAAGAAATCTAAGCTGGGCATATACTTGATATAACATGATCTTATGAGTCTATAAGGCAAATCTTAAGGACTGAGTCCATAGAGATGAGCATGCTGAGAGACATGAGTTTACATACATAATGAGGGTCATGACATGAAGCAGAGATTTATGGAATCATGGAAGAAGAGTGGAATCACCATATGAAGTAGTTACTTCTCATTCTATGAATCTGAGTACGAATACACATAAGGAGTACTTGGAACACAGACATGGGCATAACATGTTAACAAACGACATGAGTAGAGTATCGCATAAACTGAAGTGTAAAAGGACATCTGAATAAGCGTGGATCGATCTCCCATAGTTACTAATCTTGAAACTCAAGGCTTGACTTGGTCCTTCACCTTATAATCTCTCCCTTAGCTTAGAGGTCATCATTCTGAGGATTGGTCCCCTTCTTAAGGCTAGGCAGAAATAACTATCTCTTGACTTCCCATTTGCCTCTAAAGCTATCATGGAAGACTTCATACTTCTCTAGTCATACTCCCCCACTATGTTGGTTCCTAACTTTAGGTTCACGAATTCTTCTTCCTTAGCTTTTCTTAACTCCTGCAGGGAGAAATGACTTGAGAGTGCCTCTTATTCCACTAACTGGTGTTATTCTTTATAGTGTGAATACACGAGTTAGAAGGATAGAAAGATATTTCATCGCACAACAAAGATCATGAAAGAAGGGAAATTTCCTAAAATATTTCGTAGCCCTTTTGTCATAAGTGTGGCATGCTTCACACCCATGAAAAAAGGCTCTACTTAGTGCGGCTTTCAGACACCATAGGACACTTCAAAACCTAATGCTCTGATACCAAATTTGTCATGAACCGAATGTAGACCCAGATCATAACACGATACAAGGAGCCTCGAGATACTACAAGTCAACCCATGGCATGAACATTCATCTAACTTCATATTACTTAAAATGGAATACTGAACATAGGACATAACGGGAATGTAGAATGTAAGAGAAATTCAAATGTGAAACAATACGCCATCTCTTCTACTTGAAATATCCTTCAACTATGGAAGAAATCTTCTTTTTTATACTCATGTTTCCCCTCCATCACGCTCCGCCGATTGTTGTGCTCGTGTCAACCAAGCCTTCAAGTGCCGTAAATTCTCTCTGGGGACATTGAGTTTGTTTTCATTAAGGAAGCTTTGCTGGCGAAGCGGTCAATAATCATTTCGACAATCTCACTTGGTGATGGAAGTTCACCCAAGTTGCAGTGCCACAACCTTAGAACTAGGCATGCCTTCTCCGATTCAATCAGGGGGCTAATATGTTCAGCCAAGCAATCTTTTTGTTCTTTAATCTTGGCCAATTCAAGTTGATTCGAGGCTCTTTCGATCTCATACCGATACCCTGGCTCTTCTTTAGCCGCGAGAAGGCTTGGTTCTGTCGAAGAGCTAACACCCCTTCCAACGTCTCTGCCGTAAAGAGGAATGTTCTCCATTAAAGAAATCAGCCAAAGGGAATCGAGAAATGGAATGGTCCAAGTTCATAAGAAAAAATAAAAGGGAGGAAAAAGAAAAGAATAAAAGAAGAACATCCCTTTCTATACAGTCAAGTGGCTTTCAGCTCCTCGGCTTGAGTCAAGTGGCTTTCAGCTCCTTTCTTCTTATTCTTAGTCTTTTTTTTATATTTATAAGTATAAGCTAGAGTGAGAAGATCAAAAAAAGAAAATAAAGAGAAGTCATAATTTTTTACTTTTCCTTCTTTGCCTTATTGTCCGACCACGGAGAAGGCTACCGTATTCACATCAAGGTGACAGGATTTGAGCCTATGGCCCTCTGTACCCAAAACAGATGCACTAACCATATTTCACTACACCTCGTCTCACCACCCCGAAGCATATAGATCCACCTGATCGATGAACACTCAAAACGAACTCGGCCATCCTTTTGGGCACAGGGATTCAAAAACCAATCCGAGTAAGAAACCGTGCTTTTTTTAATCTGCCTCAAGCAAGCCACCCCAACCCTACAGCCAAAAAGCCGTCTATATAGTGCAGGAGCACTCACATTATTTTTCTTACTCTTTCACTTTCATTTTGAAATCCGGCTCGCTCCCGTCTACGGTTTGGACCTTTTGCCTACTTAGAAGTGGATTTGAACCACTGACACAAGAATTTTCAGTCCTTTGCTCTAACCAGTTGAGCTACCTGAACCACTTTCTTAAAGTCTGTTTTCTTCATCGAATAGCGCCCTACCTTACCACTTGACTAGTAAGGGAAAAGCCCTTTACTAAACTAAGAAAATAGAATAGATAGGCTTTTTCGCTTCTTCGTCAAGCTTTCGAGAAGCTCTTTCAACTATCGCCTAATCCCCCAACATGCTCAAGAACCGAGAGCCGTCCAGAGACTACCAGAGGGAGATTGCTTATAGAAAGAAGATAGGTCAGAAAAACAAGGTGCAACGGGCTCTCCGCTCCTAGTCACTATAAAGTTCTATTCTGTCCTCCGGGGGACTGGACTCCACCAAGAGGTTCTTTTTCTCACGTAATTTCGCCTGCCCATTTCATTTCCGTACCGGAGGAAATGGGATTCGAACCCATGATACAATCTTGTTGTATGTCGATTTAGCAAACGAATGCCTTAAGCCACTCAGCCATACCTCCAAGTTGTTGATAAGAATGGAATTGGATGTGCCTGGTTTGGTTTCTTGCCTGAAGGAAGGGCTATCTGATTCGATCAACTACGTAAGCCGTAGCCCTCTAGCGCACGTACTCTTCCTCTATGAGCGAGACTATATCCAAATCTGCCACTCCTAGGGCGAGGCCTTCTGTTCTATGAACACCCCACCACTAAATGATTCACTTTCAAGTTTTCGCCTTCGACCCGGGAGATCACAGGGTCAAGCCAAGCTTTGACCCGCCTAAATGGAATTCATATGTCCTTCGTCTGGTCGAGAAGGGAGGGAAACTGGACTGGACTCTACCTCTTCTATTACATTTGCATTACATTATGGAGAAGTCCATTCACGTCATGATCGATCCACGTCCTAGTGTAGTGCTCGGCTTGCTTAACAATAAAAGCTAGCTTACTGAGGTAGTTGACTTTTTCATTTTGAAAAAAAGGAGAATGCATTTTCCCTTGATTGCACGAGCTAGCCAGCAAGCCAGCAAACCCTCCTTACTCACCTCAACATATATAAAAAGGATCTTTCTCCTTTTCATTTCATAATAATAAGGTAAGCATCCAGCTCTCAATCCAGAGCTACTGCTTCAAGAATCAACTGAGCTCAGGAATTCAGGTTAAGACGTCGACTTTGACAGGGGAGATGAAAAATAATTCCAATCTTTAGAAGTAAATCCCACTAAAGTATACTAGTATGCTTGGCATGAAATGTCGAGGCAAGCTGAGTCAAAGGCCGAGCCTCAACCAGCAAAGGGGCACAACCATCCAATCCAAGCACAGTAAAAGTGTGCCAATCTCTACCTTTCTTTCTTTACCCTAGACTCCATTCTTCAAGGAGACCCATGTGCATTTCCTCTTTTCTGTGCTCGCTACGCCCTTGTGCCTTTATTTGAATTATAGGTCGCTGATTCAATTTATCTTAATGGGATTTTTCTAGTAGGTAGAGAGAAGACTAGTAGTATCGAAAAGAGGCTACATCAATAGCGTAAAATTTAGGTAGGGTATGCTAGGAGTCAGAAGTCCTATTCTTCCCAACCAAATAAGTACTATTGCAAAGTTCACCTTCCCGTGGTCAAAGAAAGACTTACAGATAACAATCAAACTTACCAGGGACAGGGACCAGACTATAGAGCCTAATTAAAAAGAATTCGGGCTTGCTTTTTCAATTCACATCTATTAGCGAGGATTCCTCTATCTCTTGCTCTCTTTGATCGGACTCTGACAACTTAGGGAAGAATGATGGGTCGCTAATAAGGCCCGTAAATGACCTCTCAGAAGGCCTACCTATTTTTTTCCCGATCTATCACTTGCTCGTCCCTCTCTCATGAAAATGGTCGCTCCTCTCCTTACAGTTAAGTGGCTTTCAGCTCCTTTCTTTCTACTAGTTCTTACATAAACAATTTGTAGGAAGTAAATGAAGTCTTTCCTTCCGAAATCCACTCTTCAAGTCACGTCTTTCAGTATTGGGTCTAAATAAAAACTATGGCTTTTGACTTACTCTTTTCCCAAAACCCTCCTTCCGACTTAGTTAGAAATACCATCTCTAAATAGCTTTAGCATTTCTTGAGTGGAAAAAGTATTTATAGATTCTAGAGCTCAGGAGAAGGTTTGGAACCCTAGTAGCAGAATGGAATCAGTTTACCGGGTTGACTTTCATGCCAACACGAGTAGTTTAACTCACCATTACCTCGTAAGGGTGTTGAGAATTGTTTTTTCTTTTTTTGCTAAAAACTTTCAAAAAAGTATTCAAAGAGCCTTTGCATAGTTTATGAATTCTTCTTAGTAGGGACCTAAACATAGGAATTTTTTTCTCAGAGTCAGACCATGCCTTATGACGAAAGGGGGAGAAAGGATGGATCACTTGTTGATCTGGGATCAAAGAAAACTATACCTGATGAATGGGATACAGATTGACAAGCACAAAAGGGGAGGCTCGACTAATTATCTACGCTCATTGATGAGATAACGACATAGAGAAGAAAGTATACCCTTTGTCACCCCGCTTGTAATTCAAAATTAAATAAGAGATACACACTTTGGAATTGGTGGGATTTTGGATGGAATCGAATAGCGAATGCGCTTGCGGTTAAGACAGGTCCTGCATCTCCTACCTAATGCAATTGACTGACCCGCCATTTATTTCCTTCAATAATGCCTTTGCTTCACTTCAAGACACTATTTACCAAGGAAATACTACCTTTTGAATGGAAGAAGACGAAGGGGTGAATGAGCACTGCGGTAACGAGCCTTAAGAAAGATGACCAGAGCATTCCTTCCACTGGCCTTTATAGGAGTAGGGGAGCGTGGTGAGATAGATAGTCGTCCAATCCTGAAGCAGTTAATTGCTCGGCCTTAGTATTGGGCTGATCTCAGACTTCAATCAACCCCTTCGTACTTTGATCTAATCAATCGATCAATCAAGAGGCTAATCCATTTTGTTTGTGGCACTAGCTAAAAGAAAGTCCCCGCTTTCTCTTGATAAAGGGAAGGGAAATATAGCATTAGCTTTAATTGAACAAGCTCAACCTTGAAAAAAAAGGTGGTAGGCCAACATTGAACGCTTCAACTTGGCCACTGAAGAAGGCGAAGGCTGGGCGAGAGACTAGACCAACTTACTGCTTACTGCCATGGTTTAAGCTGTAGGCTCCATAGATGGAACTCTGTTTAGGTATTAGGGAAGGGAGGAAACCACTTAGCACCAATCTGTGGGGTGGGGTTTAATGCCTAACAAAAAGGGCCAAAAGAAAAAAAGGGATGTATGGCTGAGGGGAGGAGAGAAAGAACACATGCATGGAGATTCTGTCTGTCGGAGGTTCAAGAATCCATGAAAGGACATCTAAGGATAAGGTTACGAAGTAAAGGAAGTCTATTACTGAGATAAGTGGTGATCTCGTCTTTCTTGCTTTGAGAGAGGAAGCTAACAAACCATCTTTTCCAGTCAGATAGCGAGCGATCACTCAACAATGAACACTAACTGAAAGCGGCCGGGAATGAGTACCTATCCCTTACGGGAATCGATCCCATTTCTTCGACATGAAAAGAAGATGTCCTAACTATGGGACAAAAGGGACCAAAAAGCCATTCTTCATATACCTCAGCTCCGAAAATAGAAGTGGTTTATTTTCTTTCTATACTCAATTCAAGATTTCATTTGTGTTCATGTTGGCAATTTCTGATGTGAATTCGGCAAGTTTCCCCCTTCCTACGGGTTCCCCCAATGACCTAGTGACACACCAACCACGCCCCTTCTCTTTCTCTGAACATAAAGCCCCCTGATCCCTTTATTTTTCCTTCATCCCCCTATTATCACCATTTATTATAGAAAGATAATAAATGGCTCTTATGGTGTGACTTGGAAGAAAGGTTTCTCTGTAGAGGAAAGGAATAAGAATTTTTGCCTATAATTTATCTTATAGAAAATCTAATAACAAGAAGATTTAATCGGAATTATTGACTCTTGTGGAAAATGAAATTCAAAAAAAGCTGTACTGACTAGTGTGAACTTACGGATTGAGCTATAAATGGTACCTTTGATAGGAAAAAGCAAGTGTCTGATCAGATCAATCAAGTTAATCAAGGACTATGCTGTCGAGTGAAGACTGGCCGAGGAGACTTCCATCATGTAGCTGGGTACAAATAAGCTGGTTAAATACGAGTAGGTAGGGGTTAGGCTAGTGCCAGTGGGGTACGTAAATGAGTACAAATCACATGGTTTTGTACTGATTAGTTTTGAGCTGTCGAGTGATGATTGGATGAACATACTTTGACAGCTCCTGGTGGAGTACTAGTATGACAGATTCTCATTGGTGTCAAGCCACGTTTCGATACCCGCTTAAAAGAAAGGGAGCCTTTCGTACTCAATGAGGAAAGGAAAATTATTCAGCATACTAAAATCTAGTGGATGGGATTCCATATTCATGAAAAGCCAGATTTAAACCATGTTATGGAACAAAGACAACCTATCTTACTAATAATAAGAAAGGGTTAAGGGCCTCCAACGCCTATAAATAGAAGCTTCTTTCTCTATTTGGCAAAGGGATACAGAAAGGAACAATGAAGTCGGAAAAAAAATTGAGTGTAGTCATGGATTATTTTCTAAGACTTCAAGAAATTTCTATTGAAATCTCAACAGTAGAAGAGGAGAAGCTCCGATCGGAGCAAAGACTGGGTTTGTTCTGGGAGTATTTTCCTCCTCTCGA